AATTTGGAGATAGTCACCATATACATCCAATCTAGTCAAGTATATGGTGACTATGTCCATATACGTGTACAGGTACGGAATTTGCTATTGGTAACAAGTTGAAGTTCAGTTATAGAATTTGCACAAATATTCCTTGTGCAACTTTCTTTCTTGACAGAACTTCCTTGTGCAACTTCAACTATTAATCTTTTGGTCTTTAATTATCTAGGCTCCACTAGTTACATCACTGTCTATTATTATTTTCCAAAAAAGCCTCCCATTTTTCAGTCACCATTGTACAAACTTCAGACTGAAATTGTTGTGGTAAACAACGCAATTTTATCACAGCTTTACTACAATCCAGACACTTGATGCATATATGCACACTCGTTACTACGAGTAATTTACAAAAAATGCAAAAGAAATGATTTTGAAGTACCTCCTTCCAAGCAGGCGTTTTTTGAGTTCTTCAATAAGTTGGTCACGATTCGTTGTTTCTATCTTACTCTGTGTGCTTCCATCATTGCTTTGCGGTCTGTGACCAGAGAGCATTGGCACAACTCGCTTAACTGAGCTTTTAATGTCTGTCACTAGGCTTTTCTTCTCCACCTTCCCTGTGTTGCTGCCCTCCCGCACCTCCTCCTTTGTCTTGATTTGACTGTCTGCTGCTTGATTTGCCCAAGAACATCCCTTAGGACTTCATCTTCGTCGAAGTTCTGAGACACTGTGACTGATGCCCGACAGTCAAATTCATTCCTGAAATCTCGGTACAGTGCCATGGCAATGATGGTCTTTCCCACACCACCAAATCCAATCAATGACACAACAGCTCGATGAGAGCCTTTATCATGTTTGGCTAGCCAACCTCCGAGCTTCTTCATGTCCACCTTCACTCCCACGGGGTTCTCTCTGCGGATGAGCTGACGGCTCGCCACCAAATGCTCAGCAATGCCATACGTAACAGCATGGGTTGCTCCGGCTCCGGAGCTTGTTCTTGGGTTTGGGTTGTTCACTCCATATCTGTTGCGCCTCTCAGCAATGTACTGTGCCCGGACCTTGAGCTCGGCAATCTTGGAGGCAATGTCACGGCGAGGCCAGAACGTCCACATCTCGTAGACTATCGTCACGATGAAGGAGCATCTTGCATCGCTGAGAGAGTCCTGAGGGAGGCGATGAGCAAAGTCATCGATGCAGTCTTCCATGTCGTATGCCATGTCACGAATCTGCTTCATCCAGTTCTTGAGTCGGCGATCGTGGTCATCCAGGGCAGAGCCGAGGTCGCCAAGAAAGGCATGCATGCTGGCGAGCTCGTCGCTGATGTACTGGATGTCGCCGCGGACACCGCTGATCAGAGTGTACTCTTGGGCAAGGAGACCGCCCAACTTGCCTAGGAGAGATCTCATGGTGGCTTCCGAAGCACCCACTACAAACTCCATCTTCCTTATCTGTGATCTTCACTTCTACAATCTGCCCCCCATTGTTGTAACTTGCAAGTGCAAAGACAGTGCTCAGCAGTTGTTGATCTATGAAAAGAATGGAAAAAAGGAAGATAAGGGTCAGCATGAATTATGGCCAGAAAAATAATTAATCATAAAAAGGCTCGACAGTCAAATCATGGAACAATTCTAGCGAATATCAATTTGCCCCCAATCAAAGAAACTATACGAACAAAAGTATTACCCATGACTGTATTTTATGCATATAGAATTATCTAACCACAATATATATCAACACCACTAAGTTATCCCCCAAAATGATATGAAAACCAACAATGCCTGAAGGTTGCATATAATGCTGAGGAGATTGTGGATGTTATGCACTTCATGGGATTTTCCAATTTGTACTTTTTATATGTCACAGTGCTAATTAATTGAGTGAAAAAGATGCTCACAATGATGGTAGGTTGTCAAGATTAACTGCCATGGCAAGTGGAACAAAAAGCTACCAGACAACAGAAAATGGAGTTTGGGGCAGAGGAGGCACCTGCAAACTGGACAATAAGCTGCTGGTCGCTGAAGAGTCTTGAGCAGTCACTGGGCAGGGCAGCCACCATCGAAGGCAGCGGCTGCACAGGCAAGTGGAAACAGGTGCGGTGTACTCCTGTCAAACTCTATTTTCATGGTTGCTTCCTAAGCACCCACCACATTCCCCATCTTCATGCGAGTGCAGCAAAGGATGAGTGGGCCACAGAAAGTTCAAATCAAGCATAGACAGAGCTAACTTCCATTGCCACCTCCTCAGCAGTTGTCAATCTATTTATAACACCGTAAAGGTGGGTCATCGATCATGGTGAGAAAAATAATTTTGGTAATGAAACACTAAATCATCCCCAACCAAATAACCTACTTATGGAAAATATGGCAATTTGTACTCAGGTGGAAATTTACTCATTGATAGACGACATGTGTAAATTACTCACCGAAGATAATACTCTGTTTTTTAGGCATCTAGTACACCCTGTAGTACGACTAGAAGATCCGGCTAATTAACCACAAGATTGAAACGAAATCAACAAAATGTAGGTCTCACATCTTTTGGCAGTTCTAGACATTACATAGTTTCCAGTTTTCTTGTCAACTTGGCAAGCAAACAAGAGGCTATGCTCCTGATTGGTTCGATCTCTCTTCCTCTCTTCCCTAAAAAAACAAGAAGAGGGAGCACGAGAGGTTGGCACCTGCGATGCTGGCCACCGAATAGGCTTTAGCAGTCGGTGGCCGCCGTCGAAGGTGTCAGCGGCGGAGGCCTGCGTGGTGGCTCCCAGCCGGGTAGAGGATTTAGCAGGCAGATGGAGGGACACTACAAGCAGCGCCAGCATCTGTGTTGGATTGATTTCTTGGGTAGAGGGCGGGGAACCAAGGATGGTGGTGGACACAAGTAAAGTTGGCAAGCTGCTGGGCTTTTACTCACGTTACAATCTCACGGTTCATCAAAAGCTAACCCTATACGTGTATATATATACACGCAGGAGCACCGATCCCAAATAGCCTAAACCTATACGGCCTTGCTTTCAGTCCAAACCGGACTCTACTTAATACGCCTTACTAAGGACATTACCACGCTGCCGTTCACTTTCCTACATACTCAAATACCACACGGACACAAACTACTACCACTACACGTCTATAGCCAAGACACTTCCTTAGCCGGACTAAAACAACTGAGCTAGGAACTAACTAATCTACTGCTAGACAAGATTATCTCTAAAAATGCAACAGTTTTCATTAGCGTCATTTCGTCATTTATCAGGCACAACATTTTCTCTGGATTATGGAAGACACATCATAAATTAATCAGCGCAAAATGGCAAAGCTCGAAATGATAGTGTTCCACAATAACAAAGAAAATGAAAAAGGAAGGGTGATTCTTTCGGAAAAGCACCGAGTAGCTTTGCTGGTTCTCCAAGGAATGCATGCTGTTCTTGGGGCAATTAAATTAAGGCGAGCATCCTGTTCTGTTCCTTCCTTCGCTAATACAAACTTGTCCAGTATAAAAAAGAAAAGAAGAAGAAGAAGAAGAAGAAGAAGAAGAAGAAGTTAAGCTTCTGGCTTGAGATCGCTTGTCTTGTGGGAGTAGCCATTCATTCATTAGAAAAATCAAAAGAAGCACTTCGATCTCTTCCGCCCGCTTTGCCAAATCATCAAGACAAAGAACCATTTTTCTATTGGTTGGAATCTGGGTTTGCTGCAAACCAAGAGAAGGCTTAAGTTAATCTCACTGCTGGTATGATAACCAGCAGGGGTGATCCTTTAGAGGTTGATCTCCACATTCTACCCAGATAGACAAAATTCCCAAGGACACACACACACACACACACACACACACACACACACACACAGATTTTCTTTGGCGGAGGCGCTCCAGTGCATACAGCCTGCACGGCCTAGCTGAGCCATGGAGGGAGCTCCCGTGACAGCAGCCACGGGGGTCTTAGGGCTCGTCGTCGCGAAGCTGGGTTCTTTGCTGGGCAGCGAGTACAAGCTTCGATGCCAGACTCGGAAGGACATAAAGTTCATCAAATCCAAGCTCAAGTCTGTGCACTCTATCCTTTGGGCGACATGGGAGAGGGAGATTCTCGATGCGGAATCCAAGGACCTGAAGAAGGAAGCGCTGGATCTCGCCGATGATATGCGCCACGTTGTCGACGACTTCATCCTATCTTTGGAGCCCAGCCGCAGAAGCAAGCACCTGATGATACAGAGCAAGATCAAAGCAAGCCCTTTCCAAGATTTCAGGACAAGAGTAGATGACGTGTCGGGCCGGTGCCGCAGAAATTGGAAGTGGAAGGAGGACAGGTCTGCTCAACCCTTCTCCGGCTTATTTGCAAGGAAGAATACCCAATCCAGCCCCCCAAGCAATCCGTCTCCTCCTCGAGCTCCATTTGTCAGCAAGGATGCGTCAGAGATCATTGGTATGGACGGATGGAGGGATGACCTCATCAAATACCTGGTAGGAGAAGGAGAAGAGAGCACAATGGTGCAGCCTCATCTCAAAATGGCATCCATTGTTGGGATGGCCGGCATGGGGAAAACAACCCTTGCCAACCATGTGTATGAGGAGATTGAAAAGAAGTTCCAGTCCCGAGCTTTTGTGTCCGTCACTCCAACTCCCAACATGAAGGAGGTTCTCACAAGTATTCTCCGGCAAGTAGGAGCTGAACCACCTGCTGGCACCGAAGCAAGAACAGAGGAACATATCATCCACACCATATCCACTTTCCTAGAGAAAAAAAGGTGCGCAAATTTATGAAAAGAGCCCTGGTTTAATTAATGTCTTCTAAAATGTGCACTGCAGTGAGGGGTTAGGATTTCAAATTTAGATTGTCTACTAACTAAATTTGGTCAAGCTGTCTACTAACTATCTTAATTCTACGTACGTGCGTGCAACCAACTTGCCTAGGTACCTAGTAATAATTGATGACATATGGCATCGTGGAGACTGGGAGATCATCAGGAAGTCATTTCCAGAAAATAATCTGGGAACTAGAATTGTCATGACAACTCGTATTGATTCTGTACCAGGAGATGATTTCGATACTAATAAGCTCTATATCAGAATGAATCCTGAATGGAGTTTTGAAAACGAAAGATGGCTATATGGATTTTATGAGGAAGATTTCGCTGCTCGGATGAAGCCGGACATGGTTGGACAAGGTTTTGACTGTGACCATCCTACTGTGCGCATGTGTGATGGTGTGCCGCTGGCACTAGTTTGCATGTTTTCAGCAATGGCAATGGTCTTCCGAGAGCAACAAGAACAACTAGGGGTACATGTAAAGGCATATGATGTGCAAGATATGATTGAGAAGCAAGTTAAGCAAAGTGGAATTCAGAACACTCCAGGGTTTGAGCCATTGGTAGAGAGTTTGCAACTTGGCTACACCGATCTTCCTCACCACATGTTGAAGACTTGCTTGTTGTACTGCAGTGTATACCCTGAGAATTACCATTTTCACATGAATGATTTGGTCATGAGATGGGTTGCTGAAGGATTTATTTATAAAGAGGATACAGGAAAAGATTATTTCGAAGAGCTTTGCAACAGGGGATTTACGCTGCATGTGGAGGGTGTGTTGGGTATGTCCTGGTACCAAATGAATCCGATGATGCGAAATTTCCTGAATGGAAATCGCGTGAAGATGATTTCATTACTTGCAGTTCCGACATCACATTTGCGTATGCATGTCGAATCCATCGGCTATGTATCGACGATTATCAAGTTGATGATGGTGAGGTGGAGGTGGTGGATACCTTGTTGGAACTGGATTGGTCCCAGATTCGATCTCTTGTTGTTTTTGAAGGTGCTAAGAGATATGTCCCTTTTGAGAAGTTGGAACGTGTACGGGTGTTGGATCTTCAATATCATCATCATCATCTTCAACATGAAGAGTCTAATTTAAGTTTTTTTGTGGATTTTGTATTTGAGGCCCTTGGAAATCATAATGTGAAGGATATATGTCGACTGCTCTCCGTGAGGCATCTATTTGGCCTAGAAGGGACGGGAATCAGTGAGATACCACCGGATATAGCGAAGCTGCAGCATCTAGAGACTTTGCAGTTAAGATTCACATGGATCACAGAGTTACCCTGTGAGATTGGGGACCTACGACAGTTGAAGACTCTGGTCGTGAGTCGCAACGCTAAGCTGGAAAAGCTGCCCAGGGAGATAGGGGCTTTGCAGAATTTAGAGACTCTGGACCTGAGCTGTAGCAACGAGATCAAGGAGCTGCCACATGAGATCGGGAACCTCCAGAATTTGGAGAATCTGAACCTGCATCACACCAAACTCAAAGGGTTGCCTCGGGAAATTGGGAAGTTGCAGCATTTGAAAATGCTGGAGGTGGGCTGGACAAGGATCACAAGTCTACCCGTTGAAATCGGGGACCTTCATCATTTAGAGACAGTGGACCTGCGTTACAACAGAAGGCTCACACAGCTGCCTTGTGAGATGGGGAAACTGCAGAATTTGAAGCGGCTGCTCTTGAATGATACAGGGGTGGTGAAGATACCAAGGGAAATCGGAGGGCTCAAGAAGTTGGAGATATTGAAATTAGACGCTACCATGGGTGCACTACCCTGGGAAGCTAGTCAGCTGTCGAAACTGGAGGGAGTGCCCGAGTGCGTCCGCCAAGCCTTGAAGAAGAGTGACCTTGTGTCTTCTGTGTTAGCCGGGGAGATGTTGTCCGTTCGACTGGCCCGTTGGGCTGGTGATAGGGGGGGCCTAACCGTTGGCAGAAAACAAATGAACATTCCAGGGTGGATCAAGGATCACTTCAACGACCTTGGTTCATTGGATATCAGGATCTGCAAACTAGACGATCAGGATCTCAAGATTCTGCGGGAGATGCCCAACCTGAATGAACTCACGCTAAGGTTGGAAGTCGTCCCAAGAAAGCCCATAGCCATCAGCGGTGAAGGGTTCCCGAGGCTTACGCGGCTTGTTGTTGACAGCCGTGTGCCGCCAGTTATCACCTTCCAGGAAGGAGCGATGCCGGAGCTGCACTGGCTCGTCTTGGAGTTCCAGTTCTATGGTGGCCGACCAAATAAAGACCCGCCGAGTCTGGGTATCAAACACCTCCGGGGCCTCAGCAGGGTAGAATTTAGAGGCAACGAGGAATGGTATGGAGGAGCAGCAGAGATCAGCCGGTGCATGAGCGCGATGATTGACGTTGCGAGGAAAGAAGCCCAGGAGCATCCCTGCTGGATCGAATTTTGTGTCTCTGGCCGCAAGGATGAATGTTTTCCACCGAAGGAGAGCTTGGCACGGGAGGTTTGCAGCAGCAGCAGTGGGAGTGGCGCTGAGAATGAGATCAAGTGTGAGGAGAAGAAGAGCTTGGCACATGAGGTTTCCAGCAGCAGTGCGGGGACAGGCCCTGAGATCAAGGAAGAGGAGGAGATCCTGGAAGCAGCAGCAGCGTGATTGCGTTTCTTCCTTGACGAGGTAATCTTCCTACTCGTAATCAATCTTTTTGGATCTTTTCTTTCTCTCTTTCTGTTTTTACCAACATACCAGTCAGTCACTAACACAGTTGCTTGTACCTACCGTCGTCTTAATTTGCAGGCTAATTCATCATCGCAATCATCTTCAACTATATATATATATACATATGGCCGCTATTCTTCTTCAGGCTTGCTTGAAAATCTTGTATCCCCGGAGGGCAACTGATGTGTGGGAATACATAAGATCTGATGCTTTCCTCCTGTTGCACGCACGCCCACACGCATGCATGTAGTTTCTTCTTTGCACGTCCAAGTTATATCATACTACTCCCTCCGTTCCCAAATATTTGTCTTTCTAGCTATCTCAAATGGACTACAACATACGGATGTATGTATGTAGACATGTTTTAAAGTGTAGATTCACTCATTTTGCTCCGTATGTAGTCATTTGTTGAAATCTCTAGAAAGACAATTATTTAGGAACGGAGGGAGTAGTACTGTATGCATTACTTAAGCAAGCTTCCAAGTTGATTTGTCATGTAATTTAATAATCTAAGGGAGCCAACACTATCTACTACTCCTATTATGCACTTGATTTTTACTACAAAAACTCTTCTCTTGTTGTCGTTATTATTATGTACTACCCATAAATAAATGTGACGGTTTGCTTGCTTGCTTGTTTGTTTGAAATAGAACCAGAGATTATTTATAGCTGACTAGCCCTCAAGCAGAGATTAAATTATATTTGGTAGGAGTGGGTCATTTTGGTGACCAGGCTCCATGGAGCTTGGAAATTTTTTAAAAAAAAAATTCAAAATTCAAGTTTTTTTATTGAAAAAAATATGCAATTATACAAGGATGAAATGTATAAATGTGTAAAAATTCAGGATGAAATAACTTGAAACGCGACCTGTACAAAAAAAACAAATTCATGGATGAATAGTATCATGTGCAAAGCTCCAGATGTTTTTTTTTTTGCACAACCCTCATTTCAGCATATTTCATCCTAAAAATTTACACACATGTACATTATGCCTCCTTGTATATCTGTGTTTTTTTCAGAGTTTGTTTGAAACATAGAAATATGAATCTTGAAGATTGCAAATGGAGGCCTCCATGAAGCTCGGCCTCCAAAAGCAATTTTCAATTTGGTAGGTACTACATAAATAGCTGGGATGCATGTACATAGCCTAATCATTACATTACAACTCTCTTTTTCAGTTCCGTTCCATCTTTAAGTTAACAACTCCACAGACTAACATCATTGTAGGCCGATCCAACAGAAATGTTAAGAATCTCACACTTTTTATACATGCAACCATATCATATACAGGACAAACAAATATCATCAACCGACCGCCCAATCTGCTTGAAATTGGTATGATCAAAATGAATGCCACATAGGTTTTTCCTGGGTCACCATCCTGCAATCAAAGAGGATTCCAAATAATATAAGCAACACAACAAAGGAGAAGAAAATGCAGTTAATCGACTAGCATAAACAACAAACTACTCCCTCTTTGATTGGGGAGAGAGTAATACAGAAACCCTGGTAACTGAATCAACTACTCCCTCCGTTCACTTTTGTAAGTCATTTCAGACAACTAAAAATGGGCTGTTTTGTACATTATCTGAAATGTCCTTATAAAAGTGAACAGAGGGAGTAGTAATTCAAGGACTTGTTACATTCCCTTTCTGATTGTTCTCCCAGTAATTTCCATTATATGAATGACTAGTAACAAATGTAAATAAAATAGCTCAAACTTAATGAGACCAGCTTAAAAATGGGATGCATGCTCTCAGCTTGCTCCAAGGCCAACTAAAACCCTGGTAAAACCAAGAGGTCAGCTATCCCCTTGGTCAAACTCGCAACCTTTTGTGGGGGGATGTATCCGGTGCACCCGCACTTGTGGTGCTACCGGTGCACCGGATGCTATAGAATATTTTGAAAAAACTCAAAAATTCTAGCACGTTAACGCAACATCAATGTATGATGTCACAAAATTTTGTATACAAATTCAAAATATTTTTTGAGATACAAAAATGACAAATTTGACATTAGTGTGATAATGGGCCAAATCTAAAGCCCAAGTTATGTTATGTACTATTTAGTGTTGAATTTGTCATTTTTGTTTTTCGAGTTATGTTTCGAATTTTGACTTAAATTTTTGTGACAACCTACATTGATGTTGTGTGAGTGTGCTAATTTTTTTTACAGTTTTTTTGAACATTTTAAAAGCACAACGTGAGTTCGATGCACCGATAGCACCACAAGCTCCGGTGCACCAGATATTTTCCACCTTTTGTAGCAGCGCCAGCCAATTGTTGCGGATCCTCTCATCTTCCTGTTCCATGAGCCCTCACCATATACAAACAAGATCAATTAGCCAAGGTACATGTGGTTATATATACACTGTTGTTTTGTATACCTATATATATATACCTATATACCTACTAATAAAGGAAGG